AAAAAAAAAAAAAAAAAAAAAAAAAAAAAAAAAAAAAAAAAAAAAAAAAAAACACCACAACAGATCCACTCGCACCAGCACAACCTACACGACAGTATCTGAATAGTGCACCGCACGCGAAAAGTGCGGTTCTTCGAAAAACCCCAACAGTGACGCTCATCGCCGGAAAACACAAACTACAAACATCATCGGCACTTAACCAATAGATCTAACATCGCCGTCACTCAAACACAAACTACAAATCACAATCCACAATATTGGTTTAACATCACCGGTCAACATAGCCTGGGCATTGCGTAGATCGAGATGCAGTGCTACGTGTAGAGATGCTACACGATGTAGCGTTGCGCAGCACCTCTGTGTCGTTGTGATACCCCTAAGCCATCTAGTGACCTTGCACGAGGTAGCCCTTCGTGTGGCTGTAATGGTCGTTCGATGTCCCAATATCGCACAACAGTGTTGGTTGCTTCAAAGTGACAAGCTGCGGTAACGTCTTCTCAATGGCGCTATTGCTTCGAAGTGACGCTTCTTAGTGGTGGTGGTAGTGGTGGCGCATTCGTGAGAGGAAATAAGTGAGGGATAGAGAGAAAATATATGAGAAATAATTAGGGTTTACGACTGAATTTAAGTAGGTAGGTGGATAAGGTGGGATAATTATCTATATTTTATAATATTATTAATATTAAAAATTTGAAATAACATCTGATTTTTGTATAAATAAATTTAAAATCTGTTTTTTTTTTAAATGGAACTTTAAAAATCTGGTTTTATGCAATTTCTACTTTTTTTTAAAATGAGAAATCAAAATTACAAAAATTTGATTAAGATGGAATCATTCTGTACAAAAATATTTAAAAAATAAATAAACTTTTAAAATTAAAACAAATTATTTTATATAAATTAAAGTTAAGAAAACAAATATCAGAGCATTGAGTAGGAGAGGGCAACGTTAAAAGGGTAATTACCATAATTTTTATTTGTTACACCACATTTCAACTATATTTAAAGTTCTTAATCTTTATTCATTATAACAAGGGATAATTGCAGCTGCGGTCCCAAACCTTTCAAATTTTTGCGCATTTTACCCTAACCTTTGATTTGTGCCAGCGAAGGTCCCAAACCTTTAATAAAGATGCGGCGGAGGTCCAAATGGATGGTNTTTGTGTCAACGGAGGTCCCAAACCTTTCAAAAATATGCGCCGGAGGTCCAAATGGACGGATTCCATCCAGGTGACCGTTAGTCAACCCAAAAAGTCAAAATTAATTCAATTTTTACCAAATTGAAAAGGGCAAAATAGGAATTTTACTTATTCTTACAAATTACATAAATAAACAAAAAAATAGAAAAAAATAAAAAAACTCTCTATTCCTCTCCAACAACAATGGCAGCCGGCACCACCACCGCCTCCGCCTCTGTGTCGGCAATAGCCTTTATCCTCCACACCAAAAAGCCTTCAGCCCCCACGCCGCCCAAAACCACCTCCCAAATCCACCATTCCCTGTGTTGAAAAAGGAGGAATAAACCCACTCCACTTCCGCCGCCTGAACCAGAGGCCCCAGTGGAGAAAAAGGAGGAAGAAACCCACTCCACTGGCGGCAGCGGAGGCGGAGTCACCAGAATTAGGTGCATAGGTCACAGATTAACAGGTGCAGCCCCTTATCTCCCAAATGCGGCCATGGTTTCAGGTGAGATCCTGAAAAAACTGCNGAGTCAGAAAGGCAAATTGTTCTCAATGTTCCGATCATACGTGATACGTATGAATTGATGTAGACCCAGTTAACTACTGAAAAGTGAGTGTGTTATATTACCGAACAGAGAAATGCGACGATGAAAAGGTGAGTGATTGGAAATTTTTTGGCACTGACAGACATTACAATCGTTGTAAAAAAAATGTGGTGTATTTATTGTAAATAAATTTTTAGTTTTTATTAGATAAGGAGTATAATTGTAAATTTATTGTGGTGTATTTATTGAAAATAAATTTTAATTGTGGTGTAATTATAATGTGGTGTAGCAAGTAAATTTTGTAGTAATAATATAATTACCCATTATTTTATATAAATTAAAGTTAAGAAAACAAATATCAGAGCATCGAGTAGGAGAGGGCAACGTTAAAAGGGTAAGTAATTACCATAATTTTTATTTGTTACACCACATTTTAACTATATTTAAAGTTCTTAATCTTTATTCATTATAACAATTATGTCCCTAATGATTTTTCATGTCATTCTTATCCTTAAAACTTCCATTAGTTAATACATTTTGCACTTGATGACAATTTTATGTCCAAAAATCTACAGAAATAATGTAAAACAACTTTTTTTTTTTTATTATCATATTTTTAAAAAATGAATAAATAGAAGTAAGAAATTTTTTTCCCTCATTTAAAGCATGAAAACAAAATAATTTAATATAAATCATCATCAAGGACGAGACGTATTAAGTAATGAAAGGTTAAAGATACGAATTCGACAGAAAAAAATAACGAAAATAATTATTACAATAAACAAAGATCGAGAAACTTGATTGCAATTAAAATGTGGTGTTTCAAATAAAAATTGTGACAACAATATTACTTAAAAAGAGGGGTCACCGTTATCATCATAAACCACAATACAATACACTACAATGTTGTTGCAGAGTGAAACTATTATAAAAAGTCATGCTAGTTGTACAACCGAGGCTGACAACCACTCACATGGACGGGTACACTTTTTTTTTTTTTTTGAATTTTTTAAACATGCGAACCCCGTACACATGTGAGAGGCTTCCCTATTACAAATACCACCTAAAACAGAAAATCTTGATTGTCAAACAGTTCAAAATGTTAAGAATCTGTCCAATCAGAGTACAATGAATATCAACAAATTGGGGAGTCCCAGTGTATATACATGCATACTCTTTGAACAAATCAAAATAACAAAGGTACAACTACAAATTCCTTTCTTAATCCAGCTTAAGCTACATATGACTTCCAAAGTCGGAACGAAAGATATTGATTTGTATAGTTGTGTCCAAAACTTTAACAGGGAAAAACTCGGTTAGCTTCTGGAGTTGGAAAAAAAATGAATAAATAAGCTAAGCAACTGACTATACATACATTGTGTACTGGCTATGACATTTTATAGTCTTCGTATAGAAAGCTCTCGTACTGTGTTCCATTGAGTGTCTTTTCGACTTCATCCCAGTTCTGAACTTGCGAAGATAACGACCCTTTGTGTATCTTCACCTGACGACTATTTAGATCCATTCGAGGAACCCTTAGAAAATCTTGAACGTCTAACAGTTTCTGACAGATAAATAAAGACAAAATAGAGTTTAAAAGCAAAAAAAAAAAAAAATGAAATGCATGTTTGGCATGCAATATTAGACTGGACAATAACTGGACTGGACTAGACATCCAGTGATATACAACACTCCCCGCCAAACATGCCTGAAATGCCTATTTAGGACACAAAATGTAAGATGTCTTACAGTTCTGTTCTTTATTATGTCCTCATAGTAAAGGATAATGTGTCGAGTGCTCTTGAAATACTCTAGAGATCTTGTAACCATCTCTTCCACTTGCCTCAGATTGGGTATCAGCAATGTTGTATTGATCTCGGGTTTATATCTTGCGAGGATTTCGGCCTGTATGAAAGGAATAATTATTAGGACAATGTACACATGCTTCTTTCCTTTTCAATCTTACATGTGCAAGTCAACAGGCATATCTGTACATATTGTGCGTGCACGTACACACACTTCTGACAGCTTTGAGGGGACAGGAAGAATATAGAAACGGAGAGAGAAAGGACCTCCTGGGGTGAATGCACGTGAGATTTGTGTGTCCCATTCAGTGGTTTGGCATTCTGATCATAAGAATTTGCTAGAATTGAAATCATCCGTCGCAGAAGATTCCTTCTGAAAAGAAAAATTGCTGAAACTCCTTTAGATTTGAAGTATTCCACTATTTCTACATGATGTTGCAGCAAACCCTGCAACATATCACAACATTAACAAATATCTCAGGCTACTTTATTCAAACTCATGCTAAACACAGAGCAAGTTTATGACATATTTGGTAACTGGAGTTGGTTTGTGGACAGTAATACAGAAAAGAAAGAAAAAGGCTAAAAAAAAATTTCTAGCGCACTTCCTAATACTCCAAAACAAACATACATCATACACATACTCCGGATAAAAACCACATACAAGTTCGGAAAGGCAAGCTTGGCCAAGAAGCAAGATCCTTTTTCTTATATATGTTTTTAAGCAGTGGTAGCTCCACTGAGTTCTCCAAAGAATTTAACAACACTTTTGAAATACTCTCTCTTACAAATTATACAATCCCTACGACAATTGTTCCTACTACCGTAAATGACAAGTTCAAAATATTACAAATCTGCATATTTTCACTTTCCTTCATTTCTCTATTTCCAGTAGGATACAAAGCCTTCGTATTACTGGTGTTACTTGCTTCTATCCAACAATCAATTTATATATATATGGACCTATAAAATTTATGATCTTGTTTGGCACAAATTATTTGACCTAATTACTGATTATGGATTTATTTAACTATTAATATATTTGATGCATATTTTGCCAATAATGTCACGAGATTTTCTAATCAGTTGGGCCATAACAAACAGTTTCAAGGTGCTTTACAGATATTGAAGGCAACTCTTATTACAATCTATAATCGGCAGATAAACACTAGTACACGAATTATGACATTTCAAGATATGATTCTAACATTGCACCAAACAGTATCACATAATCATTACGCTAATTATTGTTTAGCGATCATATTACAATAACATTACATGGCATAAATATCTCAGTCACATAAGAGGAATTGCAGATAGCCATAACTCACCTCCCCAAAGGGAGAATATAGAAAGCACAAGAAAAACATTTAGAGATTTGCCTCTAAGCTTGTCATTAATATTATGAAAACCCTTCAAAAATGCATTTGAAAGTTAATTCATATAGAATCAAACTTTCAATTGATCCCTGTAATTGGGATCCTATGGATGAAGACATGATCTCTCTAGATTCCTTTGGATTTCATTCAGAGGAGACCTATAAAGATCGTATTATTTTTATCTATTCTTGTTAAGTCAAATTCTTATTAGTACAGGTTTAGGGATCAACATGATATATTACCATAACTGAGGCAAAGAAGATGACCAACAAAAAACATGCAATGCAAATCTATAATTTTACCCAGGTAATAGAAAATCCAAGTCGACAACTAGTTTGACTATTTAACCTAAAAGGTGCTGCAGGTTTAGAAGATATATGCATTGACATAAAATTCTGATAACTGTGACAACATGCAGAAAAACACGAACATCTAAATTGTACAATCATGCCAAAATATAAGAAGTTGGAATATTATCAGTAAGAACCATATCAAGTTATCAAGAAAGTGTCTACATTTCATATTACGCCAGCAGAATTGTTTGATTCGGTAACAGAAATACAACAAAATACAAAAGCACCGGCAGTAGCGTAAGTGGTCTTCGCGATTTTGTATATACTGATTTCTTGTGTCCGTGCACGCAGGATTGTGTATTCCATGTCAGACATTTGTGTAATTTGAATTCTACTATGGGGTTATTATAAACATAATGACCACAAGAAGATCCCTACAAATTGCAACAATTAGAATCATTATAAAATGAAACAGAATTATTCGCAAAATGTCTTGCTCGTATGGAAGTGAAAATAAATCATATCGATGTTCCACATTAAATATCAATGTGACAAATAAATTCATCAAGAAAAATGTACTTATTGTATCTATTTAGGTGCATAGTGACGTATGCATGGTTATTGCAGGGTAGAAGCTGGAAAATTATGTACATAAATCACCTGATTAAGCATCCATTTCAGTCCAACTGCAGCTGTGCACTCATTCTTGGAGGCGCTAGTCAACCAATCTAAATTATAGATTTTATCCAATGTCTCAACAATTGATGATGCATTACTTCTTCGAACCTTATTCGAGAAAATCTCTCCATTGGAGCTAATGTTAATATGACTGTTTAACATCGTTTCAAACCATCCACTCCCAGACCTTTGTGTAGACAAAATCACAAAATATTGCACAGGATTGCACGCACACTCGGCCCTAATTCATCACCAAAAACCTACCGATTAAATCTAACAGAAGTTCCTACTAACAATCGGAAAACAGAAAAGAAAAGAAAGTGCGGTGAGGACAATGTGTTACCTGGCAAAAGTCTTTGGCTTGGGGAAATGCACGTAATATTTTTCAGATGGTTGAATGACAGGTACTTCACAAGGCCTCTCTACCACTTTAACACTCAATACGCGTCCATTAGAACGTGCATTTATTTGCCTCATGCAGATTGAACACATATAAACCCCACAGACCATGGCAAAAAGCAAGACGACCATCCTTAACACCAATGGAGATTTCTTCGGAGGTTTTATTGTTGAGCCATCCTGAAACTCAAGTATGTATCAATTTTTTTAAAAAAAGCAGAGCATATTATAAAAAATAACTTCCACAAACAAATATTCTCCCCCGCCCCCTCCCCCCACTCCCACAGCCCATAAAACAGGTTATCAGTTTGGTTGAGCTGGAGTATCCAATTTTCATTTTCCATTAAAATTGAAAGGAAGAAAAGCATAATTCTAAGAGGTGAACACATAACTTGACCGGCAGCCAACAAAAATACATAAAAATACATTCATTCATTTGAGACTAAAGGAACACTATACGTCGTGTGCTTGTTCATGCTTGATCATCATGAGACTTCGCAAAAATCCATAAACAGTAGACTAGAATTAAATCCTAACCATTTAAGTAACACTAAAAAACAAAACAAGTTGTCGCATCAACATATGCATTAATTTACCAAAATGCAATATTAAATCATTCTAGTAAATCCCATAACAGATCAAAGAAAAATTCATGGTTCTCTTCATTCAGATACTCAAGAAACAAAATACCTAAATCATAAAGTAAAAATACGTTTATCACATTTTATTATTCAAATACCAAGATCCAGAAAACACGTGTTAAGCAAAACAAAAACAGTAAAAATTCGACAAATTTCTGTATCTTTCGCCGATTAAAATAGATAAAGAAATACATAAAAGAAGCTACGAGAAAAGTAAAAAGAAAATCGAACCTTGGTTATGAAACAGAGATCGTCAACCATATTTTTCCTTTTTTGCTCAAAAGGTGAGCTGGGATTCAAGCCTTCTTTATTCATCACCATATTCTCTTCATTTTCTATATCGTATTATACTTGCACAAAAATACATCGAGAGAGAAAGTTGGAAAAATAAACACACCAATTTTAATGAGCTTTTTCTCGTGAAAACATTATGATGAGATGACCGTTGTCACGCCACTTTTTATTGATGTCTCAAGATTTTCCTTCAGATTTACGCCTCTCCCTCACGCACACTCAACACTCTTTTTTCTCTCTCTAGACTATTTCACTTGCCATTTTTCTGGAAGTAATTATAGTGTGGGATCCGATGTAGAAGGATCCGAGTCCAAGTGGAATTCGAATAGGGAAAGGGTTTATGAAACGACGACGCTTTATATTTAGATTTTGTCCTTTATCGAAGTAGTCTGATTGCATTGATATTTGGTAGGGAAACTGGTGCAAAATGGTCCCAAATCTTTTCTCAAGTCCCATTTTAGTCCAAACCTTTCGAATTTAGCAATCTGATCTCGATTCTTTTCATTTTTAGCGCAGATGATCCTTTTGGACTCTTCCATGCTAATCTTAATTAGCATTTCGTATATGTACGTGAATGGGGACAATTGAAGCAACCTCCTTATCCATTTCGATAGATCTTGATTTCCATAATGCATGCCATAGTTCCTAGGGGCAAACGCAAACCATAAAAGTTAGGAGGGTACAATCTAACTTGTAAAGAAGTTGTGAGAAATTTTACAATCGAAAATTTACGTCAAAAAAATCATACCCCATGTAATTTTACATCCGAAAATTTGCATGGGATATGACTTTTTCGGATGTAAAATTTCCAAAAAGTTTGATGTCATATTCCATATAAATTTCCTAATAAAATGATGAAAATTATATTGAGAAATTTGTATTGCAAAAATAATAAATGTTAATGAAATAATTGAATTTTTTTAAAAATACGAGTTAGACGTCTTTTTTTAAGACTCGCGTTTAACGTATTTTTAACTATTTTCGATATATGTTTGGATTATTCATATGTCCATAATGTAGTTCTCAAAATAAATTTTGAGATAATATAAGTAATTCGTAGATTCGATTAGCGTACGATCGTCGGAGAATTTTTTAAAATTATCATATTATCGAAATTCAAATTTATTGTGATTTTGCTCCTGTTTGGTGGCGATTAAAATCAATTTTTTAGTACATTTTGATAAAAGTTAAACAGTTATGGATTCCATGAAATCAGTTATTAAAATTAATTGTCAACTTTGATTTAGATTAAAATTTAGATTTCAATCGATACAAAACACGATTTTATAAAAAAATCTCTAAAGTTGGGTTTAGGTCCGCCAATGATCGTTCCAATATTCACATGAGGAAGCATTAGATACTTGCAATTTTACTGACTCGGGTATGAAAATATAATTTTTGATCAATAATGTCTCCCACATATTATACCAGAAGCCCTTGTTTGAGTCCCATTATTTGACTAAGAAAGCATTTTGGTATAATAGATTGATAGGGAATTTGTGGTTAAAAATAAGAAAAAAAATTGGATTTGCTTGTAACATTATTTTATTGAAAAATGTGTGATTGAAAAGTGAAATAATCACTAAATTTACCTCCACGAAAATGATGACGTGTGGGGTGTTTCTATTGCTCCGATCAATGGACGTTACCTACATCGAGAGAGAAAGTTGGAAAAAAAAACACACCAATTTTAATGAGCTTTTTCTCGTGAAAACATTATGATGAGATGACCGTTGTCACGCCACTTTTTATTGATGTTTCAAGATTTTCCTTCGGATTTACGCCTCTCCCTCACGCACACTCAACACTCTTTTTTCTCTCTCTAGACTATTTCACTTGCCATTTTTCTGGAAGTAATTATAGTGTGGGATCCGATGTAGAAGGATCCGAGTCCAAGTGGAATTCGAATGGGGAAAGGGTTTATGAAACGACGACGCTTTATATTTAGATTTTGTCCTTTATCGAAGTAGTCTGATTGCATTGATATTTGGTAGGGAAACTGGTGCAAAATGGTCCCAAATCTTTGCTCAAATTCCATTTTAGTCCAAACCTTTCGAATTTAGCAATCTGATCTCGATTCTTTTCATTTTTAGCGCAGATGATCCTTTTGGACTCTTCCATGCTAATCTTAATTAGCATTTCGCATATATACGTGAATGGGGACAATTGAAGCAACCTCCTTATCCATTTCGATAGATCTTGATTTCCATAATGCATGCCATCGTTCCTAGGGGCAGACACAGACTATAAAAATTAGGAGAGCACAATCTAACTTGTAAAGAAGTTGGGAGAAATTTTACAATCGAAAATTTACGTCAAAAAAATGATACCCCATGTAATTTTACATTCGAAAATTTGCATGAGATATGACTTTTTCGGATGTAAAATTTCAAAAAAGTTTGATGTCATATTCCATATAAATTTCCTAATAAAATGATGAAAATTATATTGAGAAATTTATATTGCAAAAATAATAAATGTTAATGAAATAATAGAATTTTTTTAAAAATACGAGTTAGACGTCTTTTTTTAAGACTCGCGTTTAACGTATTTTTAACTATTTTCGATATCTGTTTGGATTATTCATATGTCCATAATGTAGTTCTCAAAATAAGTTTTGAGATGATATAAGTAATTCGTAGATTTTATTAGCGTAAGATCGTCGGAGGAATTTTTAAAATTATCATGTTATCGAAATTCAAATTTATTATGATTTTGCTCCTGTTCGGTGGCGATTAAAATCAATTTTTTAGTAAATTTTGATAAAAGTTAAACAGTTATGGATTCCATGAAATAAGTTATTAAAATTAATTGTTAATTTTTTAAAATTTGTATATTTCGAAACTCAAATCTATTTTTATTTTACCCCTGTTTGGTGAAGATTAAAATCAAATTTTTAGTAAATTTTGGTACAAATTCAATATTTATGAATTCCATGAAATAAGTTATTAAAATTAATTGTTAACTTTGATTTAGATTAAAATTTAGATTTCAATCGATACCAAACACGATTTTATTAAAAAAAAAATTCTCAAAAGTTGGGTTGGGGGCACTCGCCCCCCAGCCCCCTTAGGTCCGCCAATGATCGTTCCAATATTCACATGAGGAAGCATTAGATACTTGCAATTTTACTGACTCGGGTATGAAAATATGATTTTTGATCAATAATGTCTCCCACATATTATACCAGAAGCCCTTGTTTGAGTCCCATTATTTGACTAAGATAGCATTTTGGTATAATAGATTGACAGGGAATTTGTGGTTAAAAATAAGAAAAAAAATTGAATTTTGCGTGTAATATTATTTTATCGAAAAATGTATGATTGAAAAGAAAAGAGAGAAAAATATATTTTAAAAATAATGGAAATCAAACAAATGTGAAATATAAATATACTTCCAACACATGGTTCTACATTATTTTTTGATACAATCAAACGTTTCTCAGTGAAACATACGTTCCAACTCCTACATGCATACATCAATTCATAAATGAATTTATGTAGATTGTATACCACATACATGATGTGCCACTACAAGAAGCAAAATTCGAACATAGCTACTATTAAAGTCAAATCTTTATTTTTTGGTGTAGAGATAACGCTACCAATTTATCTTTGTAAGTAGTAATATTACCATCCAAGTCGACTTCGTTACTTGCAAACTTATTTACTATGGATCAACCAAAGTCCAAAGTTTGGTTTTCAAACAAAGTTTATTTAAGATTCAATGACTTTTTACTCTTCGAATGAACATTTAACTTAGTTTCTGTGCATGAATTAAAATCATCATNGGGCCTGCCCTCGTTTATTTTTTATTTTTTCAAAAAATTTCAATTCAAATACAAATTCAAATTTTTAAAATTTAAAACAAATAATGCTTAAACTAACTACATAAATATTCGAAGTAAGCACCCGAAACAAACAATGTTCAAAACAATTTTTTTTTTTTTTTCTTCACGAGACAGGTTCGGGGCGGGGCACCTCCGCCCCGAGACCCGAGATGGGGCGACGATCCCCAACCCGCCCAGATTCGGGTCGGGTCGGGTCGGGGCGGGTTTTTTTTTTGCCATCACTAGTGTATCTTAAACGAGAACAAGTGATCATAAGAGATTTACATGGAGCTAGTGCATCCTAGCATCAATCCATGCCACAACCATTATAAGCTCAGATTCTAACTCATCTAATCGGTTCATTATATCAGAGAAACCACAATCTCCTTCATGTTTCTAATTTTGCCTCTACTACCTTCTTTTAGAATGAATTATTTGTTTTAAGAATGACAAATTTCGATTTAATAACTTCTTCATAAGATTATAGAAATAATATCCAACTATAATTTAGATATTCCACAAATTCAACTAATGCTCTAACTTATCCAAATTAGCACGCTTCTGGGAAGCGTCACGTCTTAAAATCTTAAATCTAGAAAGATTAGACTATTTACATCCATATTTCATATAAAATTTTATCAATGATATAGATGGGATACAATTTAGTGTGTAGCACATAGTGTTTAGTGCATAGCCTCATAAAAAAATTTGGAGATTCTAAATGACTTCATCGTTGATCAAATCATTTGAGACTTCTCTTTTTAGATACACCATTACGTCAGATAATCATTTTTTCTCTTGACATAATCTTGAAAATCACCCGTTAAATCATTTTTTAATCTCAACTAAGTATTATAATATATTTTCCATTTTGATCTTCTATTTCATTTATGAATTATTTGAAGTTTAAAAACCTTCAAATTTTAATTTCGTCATCATATATAACCTTGACTATTATAGTCATCTATAGATATGATGCAATAAGAAAGACCATCTTTGATTCTAATTAACAAATACCCTCTTTTATCGAATGTAACTTATTAGATCATCAATCATTTTCCTCTTTTCTAGTAAAAGGTGATTTGGTCAATTTACCTCACAACTAACATCTCACATAATTCATAATCAAACGAGTCAAATTATTGATCATTATGTAACATGGATAAGCATATCTTACATGAGCAAAATGACCATATTCACCCTTGCGTGTCATTTCATTATAATGTAACATCGGGCTAGATCTAAAAGAATCCATCGATTCCATTACTGCAGAGTCGCACAATTTTGTCAAGACCACATCAAATTATAAATAAATCGTTTATGAATGAATTTGTAATTTTTTTTATGTTGCAATCTCAACCATGTGGCTTGTACCAACTAATTGAAGAATCTAAAGTAACAATTATAATAACTTAACACGATGGGAAAAAATAAAAATGACCTTTGATCAACTAAGAAACCAGTAAAGATGGTAGTATGCAGCCAAACTTTGTTTAAAGTTTCTAATTGAGAAAAAATGAGTAACAAATAACTTAACACGATGGGATAAAAGACTTTGATATACTAAGAAACCAGTACTTAAGATGATAGTTATACAAGCAAGTGTTTTTTAGAAGTCTAAATCTTGTGTATAATATTTTTTACTGGACGCGACCCATATATGGCGACTAACCGAAAATTATTATTTAGAAGTTTAAATATTTAACCATACTTCATGTACATTTTAGTTTACACTTCGATTTACACTCTAACATAATTCTTAAATATTTTATATAATAAATTTTGTTTGACACGATTTTATCCATAGGGGCAGTTATGCTACGACAATCCGTCACTTGAGCCGTACTTTCATGTGGCACTTCTAGCCTAGATGACTTGACATATTTTAATACCTTAGCCCTACACTACAGAAAAAAACCGATTTCGTGACAAACA